ATCTACATTACGCAACAGTACGACGTAAAATTAAAATGGGAAATAACCGTGATAAAAATAAGAAGCGGCTGGCTTGGCGTTAAGAAACAGGCATAAATATGATAAACCTAATGAAATAAGTGTCTAACGACCTTTCTACTTACAGTATTAGTGATTACAAACATATCGGTACATAGCATACGACGCGCGGGGAAGTGGGGGCGAAATTAGAATTTGAGCTGACTTACTCTATCCTCTTAATATAACTACATTTACTTAAATACAAAATGCATATACTACTACGAGACCTGCGACGCTCTAATGCAATTGTTATACAAGCGGCAATAGAGCGAAACAAGGGATCCAAAATCTTTGTTCGGGAGCTTGGAAGAAGTCACATCGCAAAACTTCAAACGCATGATGGCAAAGTCCTCACGTCAAAGCCTGAGGTTCTCTCTGAGATCGAACACTATTATGGCAAACTATATGCCTCACATAAGCCACAACCTGACCCTTAATGCGATGATCTCAGAGCCATGCTGACCCGCCACTATACCGACGAGCTGTCAGACATCTGCCTTGGGGAGATTGAGCTGGCCCTCGGTCAACTTAAAAATGGAAAAGCCCCTGGAGCAGATGGAGTTACAACAGCGCTCTTAAAGGCTGGGTGTCAACCCTTGCAAAAGAGCTCTGTCGAGTTTTTAACTGCATCTTACGAGATAGGAGAACTCCAAAGGCGTGGAACAAAAGCATTACAGTCTTGTTTCACAAGAAAGGTGACAAGACTATGCTAAAAATTATCGATCTATATCGCTTCTGAGCCACGTCTATAAGTTGTTTTCGAGGGTCATCACAAATCGACTCGCGCAAAGACTAGACGACTTTCAGCCTGCGGAACAGGCTGGGTTTCGAGGAGGATTTGGCACTATAGACCACATTCACACAGTGCGGCAAATAATACAGAAGACAACAGATTATAATCAGCCCCTGTGTCTTGCATTTGTGGACTATGAGAAAGCCTTTGACTCCATTGAAACTTGGGCTGTTCTAGATTCTTTGCAGCGGTGCCAAATTGACTGGCGGTACATCGAAGTGCTGAGATGCCTTTACAACACCAATACGATGTCCGTCCAAGTACAGGACAGGCAAACAAAACCAATCCAGTTGCATCGCGGAGTGAGACAGGGGGATGTTATATCCCCTAAACTGTTTACAAATGCACTGGAAGATGTTTTAAGACGTTAGTCTGGAAAGGACGCGGTTTTAACGTAAACGGTGAGTACGCTTTGCTGATGATATCGTCGTCATGGCAGAATCGCTGCAGGAACTTTAGGACATGCTGAACAGACTAAATGAATCCTCCCAACGTGTTGGTCTGTGCATGAATCTGAACAAGATAAAAGTTATGTTCAACGATTACGTCATGCCAGTTCCAATTACTGTTGATGGTGAAATTCTCGAAGTTGTCCAGGAATATACCTACCTCGGGCAGATATTGCAACTAGGTAAGAATAACTTCGAGAAGGAAGCCGATCGGAGGATTCAGTTAGGCTGGGCAGCATTTAGAAAGCTCCGTCGGGTTTTCTCGTCGCCCATACCGCAAAGTCTGAAGACAAAAGTCTTCAACCAGTGCGTTCTGCCCGTACTCACTTATGGTGCCGAAACGTGGACAATGACGATACGTCTGCTACAAAAGCTTAAAGTCGCTCAGCGAGCAATGGAAAGAGCTCGGAGTTTCTCTGGTAGACAAAATTCGAAATGAAGAAATCCGCCGGAGGTTACTGACATAGCTTTCCGTGTTTGTAAGCGGAAGTCGCAATGGGCTGGTCATGTCTGTCGCAGAAGTGACAACCGGTGGAGTAGACGTATTATTGAGTGGAGACCGCGTCTAAGCAAACGTAGTATGGGACGCCGCCTGACCAGATGGAGCGACGATCTGCGCAGGGTGGCTGGTAGAAACTGGATGCTTGTAGCCGAAGATCGGGCTAAGTGGCGCGCCTTGGGAGAGGCCTATGTCCAGCAGTGGACTGCCACAGGTGATGATGATGATGATATACAACTACTAGCACTTGACTATTATCTAGGCCTAAACTTACATGTATTTCGGACAGTTCGATCTTTTGTCGTTATCACAAGTGGCACAATTCTGATGTTTTCTTCAATTGATACAATATATCGTTACGACGAAGACGACTTACTACGTTTCTAGAATAGGTCTTATCATAGAATGATTCTAAATTGACGCTTTTGGCGTAGGTATATTCAAATATAAAAAATGTCCTCCTGGCTAATTTTGACTATGGCAACAAATTTAAAATTCTGTTGGTAGCTATTCCCTACTCAGGAGGTATAGAAGCGCTCAGTCATGCATAGTGCAAACGCATTTGCATTTAGACTTTTAATCGATTATAGATGTATGTGTCCATGGGTTACAGCCTCCCTTACGTCACCCTTACTTCTGTAAAGGAAACCTATGGAGCGCTTATGGCATGGAATGGTTCCATATTGTAACGCATACCGTTCTAAGGCCGTTTCTTCATTGGTCGTCTACAGTGATGCATATGCTCGGCATGAGGAGCTGATATTGAGCGCATACTAAACAATAGATTTCTTTAAAACGTTGTGATCATATTATATTCTTTTAACTTCGTCATTATTAGAAGCGACGTGGTAACTACACAATGGGCCCGCCAGCAACGTAATATTTTGTCAGATTGTCATTTATCAATATCGGTCAAATATTTTCTTGTTTTATTATAAGTTATTCTTAAAGATTTTTTCAGTGTCTATTTCATTGTATGTATAAAAATAAAAAATCACAGTCTCGTTTTACTTGACATAATATGTTCAACAATTCGACTAGTTGGACGTAATGTAATATTCATATACTTATGTCCTATTTTACCGTCTGGATAAATAGGATTTAACATGTGAACGGAGTAGAAAACCTATGTCACTTATACTTTACAACCACTAAAAACAAAAATTTTGAATTAAATAAATAAATTAATTAAATTCTAGTTTGAGATGAGCAGCAATGTCTTCCCGATTACAACTCAAAATAAAAATAAAACTGCGGTTGCCAACCATCTGCCTATCGTGGCAACTATGATAATATATGGACAAAGTTCAGCTGACTTGATAGGATCATAGAATGTAATCATGATGATCTCTTATATCGGTTTTGTGATCAGTGTTATAATTAAGTAAAACACCTTTTTATAAACTTTTAATATTCACAGATATAATGTTATTATTGAAAAAAAAAATATGTCATTCGACTGTTGCGTGGCTCTGTTCGAGCAGTAGATAAGGCACGGGATGGTACAATACGTTTCTGAAACACGCACGACTAACTTCCTGAAAATGTTATTATGTTTAGGTTATAAAACTGATAAAAATATAGATGATAGCAACCAAATTAATCACAAACACACATTTCGTGAATCTCTTGTCTTTAAATATTGAATGATAAAACGAAAGAATTAATAACTTATAAAAAATAAATAAATCAACATTATTTAACAATAGTAGTACTTCATCATCTATATGCATCACAATATTAACAGTATTTTATTTATGTACTGTATATGAAATAAACATACCTATGTTTAAAAAAATAAAATCTGGTTTTGTTTTCGTGCCCGAATAATACCGCAAATGTATTTATTCCGTCTTCGTGATGTAGGGTAAAGGTTGGCTTTATGGTGATAATAAGAAAAAAACTTAAAATTTTATTTCAAAATTAACATTTATTAGAAAACCTCTTTACTTATTACAATAATCAGACTTTTCTTTTCAATAATTATTAATCACAGCAACTTAAATTCTTAAACATTAATAGGAAAATCAGATCAAACAAATCTTTTTGGTGTTGGCAATATGGAGATACGGGGGGCAATTTGGTGATACCATATGTGGCAATATGGTGACAAGTCTATTCAGGTGCCCAATCACTGTCATCAGTGCCTGAAAAGTCTACTTTATCACAATTATCACACAGGAACTGTGGCGACTCTGTGCCAGTACATTCTTGGTGGTACCATTTGCCGCAGCTCATGCACTCTACCCATACAGCTCCGTTCCTAAGTGCCACATCTTGGGAGTAGTGAACACCGCAATAGTCACACATCGTACTTTTATTTGATTTAGGTGTTTTCTCTACCTTGACTCTTGGTAGTTTACGCTTCAGGTTGCTTTCAGTTGAAGGTCCAGGAGTTGGAGAAGCAGAGGGGACATGAATCGAGGTAACGGTCTCCTCACTGGTAACGGCGACTGTGGTTTCGTTTGATATGGCGACGATGTTTTCTTCAGGACTGTCCATGTTGTTCGTGCTTTGAGGTGTTAAATATCGGGCCTGTGGATTCCGCTTAGCTCGTCGGGTACTAGAAGAAGAAGACTGTGGTACCTCAGGAACGGAAAGTAAAGAGAAAACTGAAGGTGACGCAGTTTCACGATTGACAGCAGAAGCTTGGGCATTATCAGTGGAAGATTCAATATTCTGTGACTGTAGGTCACTTGGCTGCATCAATGATGGGGCAATACTTTCATCAGAAATGGCATTTCGATCAAATGGCGCAATGCCAGTTTTTCGAAAGCCGTTCATAATTATTGACGGCTGAAATGCTTGCTCGTAGGCTGGTGTTAATAGGCGACAAAAGTCAAGTCTTGTTGGAGCACTCGTTGGATGTTGAAGCTTATAATCATTTAGCACTTTAGCCCATGCATTTTTCAGTGACTTGTAAACGGAAACGTCCAGAGGTTGCAGGAGATGGCTTGTGTGACTTGGAAAAGTGAATAGATGAATGCCATTTTTTGTAGCGAAATCTATAACATCTTGGCTGACATGGGTAGAGTGAGAATCCATGATTAAAAGTACCGGTCTAGCTGGGGGAATATGAGCTTCAAAATGATGCATCCACTCCAGAAATAGTTCAGAGTTAATCCATCCGTTTTTGGATAATCTCACGATAGACCCTTCCGGAGCACCATTCGCTAGATCATTGACCATTCGGACACCTTTAAAAATGATCAAGGGGGGGTACAGACGCTCCGCTCGCACTACAGCACCCAAGCACCGTTTGTGTGACACCTTTCTCTGCAAAAGTTCTACTGTAAATTACCTTCTTTCCAGTTTGAGTGACAATTTTTGACGGTTTTACGACGAACGTTACACCGGTTTCGTCGCAGTTATAAATCCTTTCAGGCTTTTGCAGAATATCCAGCTCAATAACGACGTCCAGTAGCTTTTTATAAAAATCGTCAATGTTTTGTCTGTTAGCAGTAACAGCTCGGCATGCTGCAAGCTTTTCTGGCGTGCGCAATGAAAGCCCGTACCGTTCTTTAAACGACCACCACCAATAAGCCCCAGCTTTACGTTTAGCATCGTTAAACTGGTGATCTTTTCCTGCTTGGACTGCTAAAGCGTAACATTTAGCTTTGATGTCTGTGACGCTGAGACCAAATCCTAGTTCTTGCATTTTAATTATGTAGGAAACAAACTTACATTCAAGGTCGCTGTCTAATGTGAATGGTCTCCCAAGTTTAGGTAAGTCGAAACTTTCACCTCCATGAGTAGCTATGTGTCTTCTCAAAGTAGACCACGGTATGCCATATTCCTTCGACGCCTTGTACACGGACCAATTATCCTTTATAACTTTCATATAAGCCTCCTTGAAGCGTGAAGAGTCATAATTTCTGCGTTTCTCGCCCTTCATTTTCCTTTTATTTGCCTTTCCGGACTTGTTCCTGTAAGAAAAATCATCCAATACGTAAGACTATAACCCGGACTAATGAAACACAACCCGATATTTTTTTTAACAGAAAGATACAACATTTCGAGCTTCATCTACCCTGAAAACCCCATTCAAATTAAGCTTGAAATAAAATAAAAATAAGCTATGTAATATTTTTGGTAATTTGGTGATATTTACGTACCGATTATCCTCCATTTTTTCGCATATTTTGGCGCGAAACAAATAAACCGCGTCCGGTGAGGACAGCGACCAGCGGCCAAATGAAAGAGAGATGAACATACTCGCCTTCAGTTCATTGAATGAACGCAAAACTCGCGCTGGGCATTATAAAGACCGTTGAAAGCAAAATTATCACCATATTGCTATATATCACCATTTAGCCAACCTTTACCCTATGTAATGTAGTAAAAATAGCACTCAGTTCAATTAATTTCCAAGGCCCTTGTCAATTTTTGGGCCAGTCTTATTAAAGATACTTAACAAACAAAATAATTTATTCCAACCAAGTCAAACGTGCAGACACAAGAGACGACGAAACTTAATTCATTCACGCATCAATTATAGCCTTGTGGTACTGGCTTCACATAATTAAACACACGACCCTACGTAAAAAATATAAAATATTTACTATTTTAAATGTTCCGTACAAATTAACATGCTGATAATTTTATTAAAACTAGAATACAATAGACGGCAAGTAAAGTAAAGTAAAAAACCTGAACTAGTGTGAGTTTAGGCTTGGTTTCAAATAATATTTTATAAATGTTAAATGGGTTAAGGTGCGAATGTGAAATTTTTCTTAAAGAATATAAGCTTTGTCAGCAAGAATAAGCAAATCAAATAAGTATTTTTTATGAAGTATCTTTATTCATGTAGAATTTTAACAAGTTACTTATAAATACTAAAATTATTATTATTTTGGGTTCAGAAATTCCCTTGTAAAGAAAACCGCTTAAAACAAAAAGTTCTTTAAAACATATTATATTTAGCAGTTTATTTAATCCGATTATGTGCTTAAGGGGAAATATAATGTCAAATGGCTTACCAAGATCCTTCGTTATGCCGAAAATATTGCAGCATTAATTTTGAAATAAATATATGGTAAAGTTGAGGATTAATGTTAATGATTATGTTAGACGAAAACACGATTTCGTAAAATTTTCTCGATAGAAAAAAAATCCAAAGTTACCTCCAAAATAAACAATAAACAGCTGTTATTCATAAAATACTTTAAATAAGATCATGAAACTTTGCATACTAACTGAACTAACTACAAAGCAGTGCTTATGTTATTTACTTTTTTTAAAATACCATTATTTTCACTGTAAAAAGAAATTACCTAAACTATCGGCGTCTTGGGCTTGATTCCTGTCGCCCGTTAGTATCGCTTAGGCTTTTGAAGGGAGAAGTTGTGTCGCTTACGATCAGAATATACATTACGCAACAGTACGACGTAAAATTAAAATGGGAAATAACCGTGATAAAAATAAGAAGCGGCTGGCTAGGCGTTAAGAAACAGGCATAAATATGATAAACCTAATGAAATAAGTGTCTAACGACCTTTCTACTTACTGTATTAGTGATTACAAACATATCGGTACATAGCATACGACGCGCGGGGAAGTGGGGGCGAAATTAGAATTTGAGCTGACTTACTCTATCCTCTTAACTGGAAGACATTATAATCTCTCTGTTAAAAGTAGTCATTGACTACGTAGCGAGCTTTTTTTAAATATTCTTTAAAAATATTTAATGGACGTTGTTGAAAAATAGATTAGCGTCAGCGCTCTTCTCATTAATCAAACATCTTTGTCACATTAAGTTTCGAAATAATTTTTTTGTTAATCAATCTGATACTCGTGCAAGAATATTGTTTACGTCGCGTTGTCAAAATAGTGATTTTTTTAGTCAACCCAAAAAACTAGAGATTTAACGCCATCAAACAGTACAATGTCATATAGATTTTTTTAAATGTTCCATGAAATATCACAAAAATGGCCTGAAGACGTAATTATTCTTAAGCAGATAATTAGTACTAAACATTATATGGAAAGAGAGCTTAATATAGGGATATATAGGCAACGCAGCCAGGATTCTTGGCACTAAATCGCGGCAAGTAGGATTATAATATTTTAAATTTTAAGTTTTTTTTATTCTGGCAGTAAATGTTGTTTTTCTTTAATACAATATTAAATCAATTACTGTTTTGCTATTAACTCGTAGATCGCGGTTGATTTCTTAAATCAAGTCTTCCACGCATCTGTTTAACAGACGAGAATCTGATGGCCGACTAATGAACATTCATCTAATAATTCAAACCCTAAATCTTATCTCATCTCATCACTGACTGGTCACGTGCGGCATAACAAGTGCGAGCAATGGGGGTGGGTTTGAAAAATTGGGGGCCGGCGTTTCCTTGTATTCTCCGATCGGCTCGGCACAGCGGCACACACGAACCTGTCTGCCTAACAAGGTGGTAAAGACAAATTTTCCAAGTACACAGCATCAGCAGCCTCTTTAAGTCAGTATAATCTGTTGATCGCAGTGATAATTTACAAAACTTTTTTACTGTTTCATGTCTAAGATATTTGATTACGGCCATTATGCATAAAATTTACGAACTTTAACATGAAGATAACGTTGTTTGCGCTTTATAAAACGAGAACTTTTCCCCCGAATGTAGTATAATCATTCGATGGAATTTTTTGTGACCCTCTCCACCAGTAATAGAGGTTACAGATCTTATATCACGCACGTTGTAATCGACTAAAATTGTATACCGAGAATCGGGCCGGAAAACGATAGGGTTGCGCTCCGCGGGCCCCCTTTAGTAATTTTGTGAACAAAAAAGTATTTGAGCTTCATCTCATTCTTATCGCGGTTGAGCAAACGAGATGTACTATTAATATAAATTACTTTTCACTAACAATAAGTGTTTTTGTGTTGGGACTTCGTAGGCGTGTACACAGACGGCTTTGACACGAACATGGACCTTATAGCCGAGCAATGAACCTTCTAAAAGGCTGATATTAACGTACAATGCCTACACGATAAGAGTGTAATTTGATTCCCATTGCGCGCTAACATCAAGTGCATTGTATGTGGAATCAGCAGAGTGTACACTCTTCCTGATAGTAAGTGGATGGTGTGGCTCATATGATTAACACTTACTGCGTTGCCACTCTTGAGGACCGAGATGGATACCTCGTTAAAAATACAAGGGCCTCTAGTTCACAGCATTCGTCGTTAACGTCACGTCATTCGTAAGAAACTCGCGCTGGTAAACAGTGCGAGCTGCACAATACGGCATAACGAATGCGCTGCTGGCAGTCCTCTACCGCGTGCAAAGCGTGCGAATGCAAAAACTCAAACGCAAACTACATTTAATTACTTATATTGTTACTACCTCCCAATTGGTTCGGGAACGTGCTTTGTAGCGTTCCACGAGGAGGGTTATGTTCAGCGGTGGGCTTGTGATGGGCTGTAATGATTATGTCGATGATGATAATGATAATTTTAATTTCCTTTTGGGGAGAGTCCGAATTAAAAAAAATTCAGTATGTTACACACACCACTTTTTTATGATTATAGAGACCGATTCTACTGTTTTTTTTCTAAAGAATAATTCCCCTGTTTCCTGTGTCTTTATTCGCTCGTTCCTTCATACGCTTGTAATTATATTCGTAGTTTAACAATTTATTTCGTGGCGCATATCACAAAAATAAATTATGATATTGTTTTTCGAAGTCAAGTTCATTCAACTTTTAAGTAAGGTAATAAATTCTTCTAGATAAAACATATTATCTATATAGAAGTAGATCGTAAGCGCTGACCAAATCATACCAAATTGGTGTGGATGTTATGTAAATCGACTGAATGACAATCACAGTATCAAACACTTTGCCAAAGTTGCTGTCTCCCGTCGCGTCGCTGGTTGGGTATTTTATGACTGGCCACCTGTTGGAAGCTATAAAATATTATGGGCTTTTCCTATTTTACCTTCAAGACATTCACGTAACTAAATAAATGGAGTGAAGGATTCTTCTACATTTTTTTTGATAATAATGAAATTGTCACTAAACCCAATCCCATTATTTTCCTACACGCTTAGTATTTGAAACTTTGAGTAGAAGTAATTAAAATGTAAGACGTCATTCAACAACGGGCAACCGAAAACCTAAAATTAGCTTAGTCTCTACGATTATGAAAAATTAAAGATCGAAAAACCAGGCTATACACTTAGATGATTCTAAATGGATATAGACACTTAATCTTGATACTTTAGAAACTGAACGAAATCTGTAAGCCAAATGATTGAAGAAATGATCAATCCGATTCGTTCGAAACTATAATCATAGATTAATTATCGCAATTAATTTATTCTGCAAAGTGCATTTTGTGAAGAAAGGATTCTTCTATAGTATCTGTTAACATAATATTAACAGATACTATAGAAGAATCCTTTCTTCACAAAATGCACTTTGCAGAATAAATTAATTGCGATAATTAATCTATGATTATAGTTTCGAACGAATCGGATTGATCATTTCTTCAATCATTTGGCTTACAGATTTCGTTTCGTGATATTTTAGTTAATTTTAAAACGGAACAAATAAAACCCGACAGACAAATTCGGAAGGTTTGTATAAGAATTCTCTAAAGTTGTCTCTCACCGGCGATGTTAAAATAAGGTGATCACGTTGTGTGAACTAAACAAACATTTGTGTCACGATAAAGTGTCCCCGTGATAATGAAATTAATTATTTAACGACTTCATAAATTTGTCATGGGTTTTTAAAAGGCCACATGGACACTGAGATAGTATATTTGGAAATACAAACAAGTTAATATTCCTTGAAATATATAGTTTTGAAGTCTATATATATGTATATATACCACCCTTACTTCTTTATAAAATAAGGGTGACATAAGTCCATCTGATGGTAATTTAATGTTGTAGC